AAGCAAATGAATATTATTTCAAATAATTGTAGTTTTTGTTCAAATCCATTTAGAAAGTGTTGCATTAAAACCATACTATTGAAGCAAGCCAAGGGTTTAACAATAAAAATGGACTTTAAAGAGGGTTCCGCATATCTAAAAAATTAATAAACAGTGGTCTAAAAGGTTATGGTGCTCCAAACATATGGTCAGTTAACTCGATATTATTTAATGTTAGGATAAAATTATAAAAACGTCTAAAAAATCATCCTGTGGCAGCTTATGAATGTTATGACAAAATATAAACCAGAACAAATTTTTAAAGCCAAGTAAAGGTCATATAATGGTTAATAACCTTTACCATTATATGATATATGGTCATATAATGGTTAATAACCTTTACCATTATATGATATATGGTCATATAATGGCTAATGACCTGATTTATACTGGTTTATGATATGACAAATAAATGAATAAAATCTGCAAGTTAAATTTAAACATAAAACCAAGTAAAATCTAAATACATTTAACATATTAAAATACATTAACCTGCTTTAAGATCACTTCAGATTAAGTAATACAGCCAAAAGTCTTTAATCCGGATTCGTCGGGACTTCGGCGATTCCGGATTATCGGTTTTGCCGGATTATAGAACATCAGTTTAAATCTGGTAAGATGGCATGCAGAAATTATAAAATTTAAAATATAAAACCGTAATTTATGAAGTAAAGAGGAATTATGATCTAAAGGGTATCAAAATTTACAAAAAAAAGCTTAATATTTATTTGTTTACTTTATTAAACATTTCTTTCAACGCGCTCATGCCTAAAGCATACATTACGCATAGTCGAAATTAGAAAATTGCAACCAGAAAACTATTTGATATGTATTTGTGATATTTATAATGACGAGGAATTTGATTTAAATCATATCAAAGACGGAGTACATCAAGATGAAATACTACATTTAGTAAGGAATTATAAGCCGAATAAAATGAAAACGTCTGCCCTGAAGATGAGGATAGTGCTGACAGATCAATTTCCAGTTCATTGCATGCCGCAGCGTTCCCTTACCTGCAGAGCAGCGTGAGATTGAGAAACAGATTTTGGAATGATTAGAGAATCAAAGGATATGCCTTTATCCATTTTGTGCAGCAATTCTACTTTTTGTTTGATGGACATCGAAACATGCTTTTGCTTTGTAGATCCTTTGGCAGCTCCAGAATCGGAAATTCTCTTTTGACATAATCGAAAGTTCAAGCTTACTTTTATAAAATTGCTCTAACAGTCTGCAAAAAATAATAAGCCGGTTCCAATTAGAAGATTAAGGAACAACTCCATCTGCAACATTAACTGAAATAGATAATTAGATAATTTGAGCTTAGCTTATACCGTCCGTTATACATTAAACGTGCATGCGTAAAGGTATTATGCGCATGCATAAATGCATTATGTGTTTACACATGCGCAGAAAGTTTGTAGCTTTGGTGTCCGGATTATAGATGATTCCAGATTATGGACGTCCAGATTAAAGACTTTTGACTGTACTGACCAGTTTCTCTTAAATACTGAAATTAATTTAAACTGACCTCTTTTCTAAGTAATCAAGAGATAAGTCATAGCTTAAGAGTACTGTATTAAAATGGGATGTACAAATGTAGGAGGATTGTAATATGAACACAGTTTTGCATTCCTGTCTTTTAGTAAGCATTTTAAGAAATTTTTGTCTTTCCTTTTTCTATTAGCTTCTAATTATTGCACTATAGGTTTTAAGCATCTCATTTTGTTGGCAAGCTGCACCATTCTGTGTCACTGCCATTTCTTCGGGAAACAACTTGACAGTTCAACAACACATCTCGCTGTGATGTTTGCAGCTCATTTCCTTTTATCCTGATCAAAGCTGGATTTAGACTTGAAAAGGCCCTAAGCTATTTGAGATATGGGGCCCTTTATAAGTCTGTTATACTTTGTTTTAATACCATATTCATACTCTATATCAATTTTTGGGAGAGGCCCCTCAAGAAAGTGGGGGCCCTGACCTATATCTTGTGTAGCTTATAAGTAAATCTTGCACTAGTCCTGATATATCTGAGAACCCAGCAGTACGGAATCTGGTACTCATGACTCCTTAAATTTAGATTTGGACCTAGGATGTCAACTATTACTGGATTCAGAACATTCAGAAAGAAAGTACAATACAAAGTCTTTAATCCAGACTCGTCAGGACTTCAGCGATTCCGAATTAGGGGTTTTTCCGAATTATAGATCATCAATTTAAATCTGGTAAGATGGCATGCAGAAATTATAAAATTAAAAATATGAAACCGTAATTTATGAAGTAAAGAGCAATTATGATCTAAAGGGTATCAAAATTTACAAAAAAAAAAGCTTAATATTTATTTGTTTACTTTATTAAACATTTCTTTCAACATCCGCATGCATAAAACATGCATTGCGCATAGTCAAAATTAGAAAATTGCAACCAGGAAACTATTATATGTATTCGTGATATTTATAATGATGAGGAATTTGATTTAAATCATATCGAAGACGGAGTACATCGAGATGAATACTACATTTAGTAAGGAATTATAAACCGAATAAAATAGAAACATCTGCCCTGAAGATAAGGATAGTGCTGACAGATCAACTTCCAGTTCATTGCACGCAGCAACGTTCCACCGCTCCCCCGCAAAGCAGCGTGAAATTGATAAACAGATTTCGGAATGGTTAGAGAAACAAAGGATATGCCTTTATCCATTTTTTGAAGCAATTCCACTTTTTGTTTGATGGACATTGAAACATGCTTTCGCTTTGTAGATCTTTTGGCCACTCCAGAATTGGAAACTCTTTTTGACATAATTGAAAGTTCAAGCTTACTTTTTATAAAATTGCGCTAACAGTCTGCAAAAAAATAATAAGCCGGATCCAATTCGAAGATTAAGGAACAATGCAATTTGCAACATTAACTGAAATAGATAATTAGATAATTTTAGCATAGCTTATACCGTCCGTTATGCATTAGACGCGCGTAAACGTATTATGCGCAGAAAGTTTATAGCTTTGAGGTCCGGATTATGGACGTCCAGGTTAAAGACTTTGTACTGTATATAGTTTTAGTATGAGTCAGTGTATATTCTAAACTTTCTCTGGCATTGCTTAAAAGTGTAAGAAAGAGCACAATACACAGCAAGTACAGAGCAAATATCATGTAATCTTCTACCCTTTGTGTGGTCACCTATGACAATGACAAATGATGTTCCAGCATGATTAGTTGTTTGAACCTATGTGTATGTAAGGGAAGGTAACTGCTATGTTTATCTTTATATTCAAAAAAAAGAAAAAAAAACTGCTTGTGCATGATGTCATTAGTATTATTTTGTTAAGATGGTGGAAAGCATTGAAAAGCCAGATTTATGGAAGGATGACATTTCAGAATGCTATACTGCTTGGATATTCGCATCAGGCATCCTATGTTCTTTGCTCCAAAAATGAACCCTTTTGGAAAAAGGAAGGCACACAAGATGGTTATGTTTCAAATAAGAGATCACATGTCATAAACAAATTTACTTTATCTGGATGGTCAAATATTAATGTTCAAAAATCTGATGTCAAATGTTACACCTAGACTAAAGTAAATTTGCATTTCATAATTGGTCAAGGGAAAATATTTTCCTTTTTATTTTTCTTCATGTTACATATCTTTCAATTGTTTCCCTAAGAATATGCTTTTATTTTTTAACAATTACTTCAGATCTAATTTAAAAAAATCATCATCAAAGCATTGGGTCCTGGAATACTTGATTTTTTTTAAGCACAATAAATATTTTTCAGGGACAGTTTTTTTTTTTTTTTTTTTTTTTTTTTTTTTTTTCTTTGCATAGGGGTCCGAGAGTTTTAGTTATGTTACTGTTTGTATAATAGAAACTTCTTCTCATTTATTATTTTCTCACCAAACAAAAATTGTTGTCTGGTCATGTGCACTTACTCACCTGATTTTAGCACCTGTGATTTTCGTCTATTTTACTGACTTGCTGATGATAAAATTCATTAATTTTCAAATGCAGAGAAACTGAAAAAATGTAATGCAAATCACACTGAAAAGAAATTCCAATCATTTGGTTCTGGAAATGCTTTGAAAAACTCTGCATCTGCTGCTCTATTGATCTATTTTTGAAGGAGATTGTGCTTCTGCTTTGCTTTGGACTCAAAAGCCCAATCCAGAAACTTGAATAGCCTCTAACATATGGTACTGGTTTAATATATTTTACCCTCTGTGTTTTGTATCAAGTTTCTGGATATCTGAGTTGTTTATTTTCAGTAACCTCTAAATTATGTTCGTGTTATATATTTGTAATATTGGTTTAAAATTTGGAGAGGGGATATTATTTAGGATTATTACAGAAAAAAGTTAGGAATATGTGTTAGATTTTACCAATCATTAAGGGTTTGGCTCTTGAAACCTGAAGTTTCTCAGAATGCCAGGAATAAGTAGCATTTTCTTGATTACAATTCCAAATGGACCCTCACTCTTTGTTTCTTGACTTTTGTTTCAGTATAGACCCAATGGGTAGACTACAAAGCTGTTTTTATGGTTTTCCCCATGCATGGATACGGAGCAGTTTCCCGTAGGAAGTTCTTCACCTTCCTTCCCTTAGGCAGATAGCTCTCAAGTGCTTTGCCATAATTAAATAAATTAAACCAACATTCAACTCAAATTCATTTTTAGCAAGGAGGTGGCAGAATTTATTGTGTGTAGTGAACTGGAAAGCCATATTTATGTGGGGAATTTCATAGCACTGAGGATTAATAGAGGTTACTTATCATAGATGTAATTTTTTATTGGATTTAAAATTTATTTTGTTTTTATGTTATGTTTTAAAAGTTTATTTTATATTTTTATACTACGTGTACCAGTCTGCATGTACTGTACTGCTTTTATGCTAATCAGTTTGTTTAATTTTTCATATCCTGTTAACACCAATCTTTTTTTTTTCCTCTTTCTTCATTTTTGTACAGGAAGAAGTAATGGGTTTTATGTATGACGTTTTCAATTTTAACAAAGTTCGCTATACAAAGGTTGAAGAGCTTGCGTCTGATATTATGCAGCTAGCCAATTTAAGATTTGACAGAACAATAGAGAGGCTCTATATGTAAATGAATGAAAGATTTTATTGTTAAGATTGATGTGATAATGTTTATTTTATTATTTTTTTCTATTTGTAAATGAAAAAACAAATGGAACATAACTGCTTTTCATCACTTTTATTGATTCATATTCAGTTTATTATGAATTGAAGGAAATTGAGCTAAGCATTGAAAGTGAGTTTATTAATGGTTTCCTATAGTGAATAATTGTATGATGTATGTAATAATTTTTGTAAATTTTAAAACTGTGTGTTGTAAAGTTAATTAAATTTAGATTCAGTTTGATATAGAAGTAGTGTGATAGTTTAGATCTGAAAACAGTTTTTAAAAAGTTTACTGTTATGTTACATACAGCAATACAATAGTAATAATAAATAATAAAATTTTTTCACTTGAGTTTTGGCATGAGAAGTGTCTATTATGTAATCTTTAGCTTTTGAATCATGTTTATTATGTTATGTTAATGCTACCAGAACATTTTATCATCCATTTGGCTTAGTGAATGTTGTCATTCTATGAGGAATAAAACTTTTAATTTACTGTAAACATGACAAATTACCATTTCTAGAAATTATAGCCATGCATTAAAATTTGACAGCACTTAATCAAATGACTGATTTAAAAGCAATATGCATTTCTTAATACTTTATATCTTCATTTATTTTTTTAAATGTCTTTGTTTGATATAATTTATGTTTCCATTCCAAGTGATTTATAGTATATTAAATGATCATTTTTGTAAGTATATACACCATTATGCATAGCTATTATAAATAGTAAAAAATGTTCCTAATGCCTTTTATTGCATACCTTAGTACAGAATGATTGTTTGCATGTCATATCACAATGAGTTTCTATATTGTTGTGAAAGAAGACATTGCTGACATCTTAAATAATATAAACACTAAGCTTTCCTTTTTTTAAAAAAAGGTTTTTCATGTGGAATAGTTAAATATTCCATAAAGTATTTTGTTTCATATATTGCTGGTTTAAGCTCTTTTTTTTTAATTCAGAATATTTTTGTTATTAAAATTAACTGATTTGTATTCTTTGTATGTTACATTAGAAATTATTTGTCAAACTCTCATTTCTACTGGGAAATGCTGAAATTTAAGTCAGTGAAAAATTTCAAATAATTTATCTGTTATGTAGTTATGAATCTTTCTTAACTAATAATTATGAAGTTAAATTATTTCCATGTTCCCATTAATCCTTAAAATTTCTGAACAAAGTGCTAAAAGCAAAATAAAATTTCTAGATTGACATGCTAAAAGTATGTTCAAACATAGGTAAAATAATCAACCTATAAGATTTTATTTGATTTTTAACTTATTTTAACTGTGTTGCCTTTTAATTCTTCAATAACAGATGCTAATTCTTCTTATTGAACGTCATTGTTTTCTTCTTGCTGATAGCATGAAGTAGTTCTGTAAATCAGCAGCCGTTAAGCACTTTTGGCTGTACACCCTCGTAGAAAACAAGCAGGCATGTGGGGTGCAGTACACTGAACAATTTACTTGGATAAGTTCAATTCCTCCAGAGATTTTAATTGTGTGCTTGTATTTTAAGTAATATTTCATTTCATACTTGTGTGTCAAATATCCATGAAAGAAATAGAAATGTATATATATATATATATATTGTTATGCTTAAATTTTAAAATAAATACAGGATTCTGAAGAAAAAAATTTTATGAACTTTGGCAATTTATCTACAGTATCTGTGTATACTTCTTAATTTTGTCAAGTGTCATTAGACTTTCTTTTAAATGTTTCATATTTCATATCAATTATTTGAAGAATAAGAGAACTGGTTTGAATACTTTTTATTGCTTTTAACATTCTGTGTTGGATACTGTGATGTAGCCATCTGCAGTTTTGATTCATAGTTCAACTTTTCTAAACATAATTCTCTGAAATTTTCAAATTATGCTGTGGCTTCCAAATTTAAAACAAACAACTAGTGTGACCATGTGTGGTAACTAGTGTACCATGTGTGTATGTTACTGTAGATAAATAGAAAAAAAGTATTTTTCCACACATGTTTACCATCCAGCTATCTTAAATTTCCATCCAGCTAACTTAAATTCGATTAATTTTTTTTTTTTTGGAACTGGATAAATATAGATAAAGGATGGCATGTTAACATTATGACTGGGGATAGTTCTAAGTCTCGGAGATTTATCATAATCTTCCTTATACAAAGGTGACTTAAGCGGTCTAAAATTATATGTTAATTAATTCTGAAAAACTTAAATCTTGAAAATTATAAGTTATAACAATAAGCGGACATAATTTTTTGAAGGGAAAAAGCTGAGAAAATTAGTTTAATATTTTACACTAATTGTAATAAAAATTATATGGGGCTATTGTATGAAGCAGAAGAGAGATTATCCTGTAATATTTCGGTCTGCTCGCTATACAATGCTTGAAAAAAAAAACTATAAAGTGCAATTCTCAGAAACTTCAAGAGATGTCTTGCAAGAAGGAAGGTGGTCATGTAGTAGTGTAAATATATGTATGTAATAATTTATGATGTGACACAAGATGCAAATACTTAAGTCATAGCTGATGGTTGTAGTGGTGGTTTTTTTAGATGCATAACTGTGTAGTTACTTCTGATATATCCTTCATGGCAATTTGACATAATTTATTTCTGGACAAAATAACACTTTAGAAGCATATTCCAATTCACAAATTATGAAGGCAGTCTGCACCCATTCTTCATCACATTCTATAAGTTTTCTACATTTTGTAACAAATCCAGTGGATGAAGAGAGACGTGAGCTGCGATGTGTTACATGGGTTCAAGCAAACAGGAGGAAAATGTCTGATGTATTCAAAAGAAAGTTTAAGAGAGAAATTAGAAGGTTATTGTTTGCATCGAATCATTGTGATTAGCTGTCACAATGTATCTGCATTAGCAGGATTATATAAAATATTATGATGTGGATTAATTTAGAAATGATTCAGTTCAAAGAGATATGTTAAGAGCAGTTATTGTATAGAGTTTGATTTCCTTTAGTAGCATAAACTGGAATCAAATTCCTAGCAGACTTGGAATAACTTATCGCTTCATTTGAAAAAAAAAAAAAATCTACAGAATCTTGAAATCGTTTAAAACAGCCTTTTTATAAAACCGGAATTTAAATGCACGACTTGTGCTTAACAAAACAGCCACCACTTATATCAATGAATTTTAAAGTAACAAACAAATTCAAATTTAAAACTAGGTCGATTAGTCAAGGACTACACATTTGATTTAACCCAAAGTGGGCTCAGAACTTTTCAACTTTTGTAGCATTTAAATGTCAGCAGCAATAATGCAAAGCAGAGAAATTATACTCTTATTAGAACTATCAAAACCTAGTGGTAATGTCTCCTTGAGAGGCAAAAACATGCTGTGTTTTACAATCCAAAACCCTCAACTTAAATGCTCTGTAACCAAATTTGCATTCTGGTGAGAAAACAGAAAGGAGAAATGATAGTAAAAGTCTGAATCATTATAATTAGTTATGATTTTTAAATAAAATAATAATTAACCTTATAGCAATTTTGAAGACCAAAGGGGAATTAAAATTATAAGCTCGATTCATGTGCTTTTTTCTTTTTTTCCAAATCTTACATATATGTATGAAAAAAAATTTTTTTAATTTAATTTTATTTTTATTATTATTTTTCTGCATATGAAAATTATGTGGTATAAAATCTTTAATCCTAACTACCACTAGTGTTCAAGAACATTATTCAGCGGATGTTGAGCACTTATTAATAATTCATGAATAATCTTTGTAATATATTTGAACATAAAATGGAAGCACAAATTCTAGAAAAGGCTTATTTATATTTTAAAATTTGTACTGTAAAATCTTTTGTGTAATTTAGAAATTATCTGCTTATTATGCATTTTCTGGAGTTGCAAACTGCCTTTGCTCTATACTTATTAGACAGCTTTTAGATAAATCAGATTGAGCAGTATGCTTAAACACTTTTTTAATTATTTCTATCATTTATAAATATTTTTTTAATAATTTTGGTGTTTTTTATTTTTTTTAATCGTTGGTAGAAGCGCTTGTAATATATCTATGGTCTTTCCATATTCTGAATTCTTGCTGTGCTTCAAAGAAATAAATTTCTTTTTATATTTCAGTGCATAAAATTTAGGCAGCGAATTCTGTGCTTCCAGTATGTCATACAAGTTCATATGCATAAAAGTGCCAAAAATGCTTCATACCACTATCTACAGACAGCAAATGACACTTTTTCTAGTGCCATTTTCTTTGATCAGTTCTTATAATGATGTTCAATGAAAAAATTATAACTTTGTCATTTAGTCAAGAATTTGGTCTATTTGAAACTATAATATCAGTGTCATGATGAGAAGAAAGTGTGGAGGATTTTTGTTGCCCATTATCTTTTTCAGCTCATAAAAATGCCCTTTCTAACGTAATCTCTTGAATAAGTAGTATGATATTGCTGAATTCAAAGTAATAATGATGGCAGTAAGAGTGCTGTTGATTCTCGGTTATACTATACCTGTTTTTATTTCTAATTATTTTGGTGCATGGAGATAGTTATTTGACTCATATTTTGCAAAACAGCTTTACAAATGCAAGAAAGTTTATAAATATTAATTATAAATGCTAAAATATTTATTTGCCTGATCATTCTTTAGATATGTTGCTCACTTTTAAGTATATTCTCTGCCTAAATAATCATTTCACAATTTATCTGCTGAAATAAGCATTAAATATCATCATTGTTAATATTAGCTGCAAATGATGCATATTTAAGCATATCTTCAATATTCAATTGCATTCTACAATTTCTCTGCTGTAATTTTTCTCTGCTTTGTTTTCTGTACTGTTTTTGCATCTACTGATGTAAGCAGATAATTTCTGCTACAGTTTTTAATGTGTGTATCAGTGGCCTCAAACTCAAACTGCATGTGGCCTGAATACATCATCTAAAAATAGCTGACAGGCCAGATTTTTTTTCAGTTATTTTTTTTAAACAAAAACTTTTTTCCGGTGAAATAAAATTGTTTTAAGTAATATTAAATTTTGTTTACTGAATATTTATCAAAATATACATAAACAATAATAATAATATTGCAAAGGGGGGAAAATCAAATTTATATTTATTTTCTATCTGAAATTTAAAGTTTGGTACCTGCAAGACATTTTTGTTGTTTACACTTTGTAATTCAAATGTATTGAAAATATAAAATTTAATACAACTAAATATTAAATGTTCAGAATGATGTTTATTACAAATAATTCTGAAATATTTCATTAATTTAAACTAAAAATAAACAAATTATGAAAACCTTCATAGTTTCAAAGAAAATTTTCTTAGTAGTACAGAATTTGAGAGTAAATAATAGCAACCTAGTCTCTTTCTCTTATTTATTAAATTTTTCTTCAATGCGTAAGCAAAAATATGTATATTTATATTTAAATAATTGTAAACTTCTTTATTTCTTGCTACAACTTGACATTTAATGGCATTTCTGTTCTGATAAAGTTTCTAACCTTGTGGAACAATTACTAGAAATTTATCATGGATTGTAGATGTTTTTTAGTCAATCAGGTCTTCTCTTGTTAATTTTCAACTGTAAAAAAAAGCTGCTATATATAAATGTACTCTTAAATAAAGTGGTTATTCTTAGTGTAAAATTCTGTAATTGAGTGCATTTATTTTTTGTAAATTGCAAAAAAATTATTAAAATCGGTATCTGGTAAAGTAAAAGATATAAACTTGAATTTCAAATAACTAAAATCTTGGAATCTTTGCAACACCATATTTCAACAAATATATAATTGAATGTATTCATGGTTGCATAATATTGTTTTAGGGGCTGGCAGATTAAGAGCAAAAGTATATGAAACCAGTGTCTAAGTATATTGTAAAATAGAATGTAAAAGTGCACTGACTAAAGTCTCAATGTCATCTTGCTCAATGAGAAGATGTATTGTCATTATAGAGCATGAGTCATCTGACATTGACTTCTTAAAGAATTTCTGAAAGACACTTACCAGTAAGCTGTTACTGTCATCTATCCTTCCAGCTTGACCGCTTTGGCCAGTCCTGTACTTCTGAAGAAAATGGCATACATTATTTTTTAACACATTTTCTTTTCACCATTAGGTGCATGGGATTGTCTTTGAAGACCCATACTTTACTTCCTTGACATGTTGAAATGTAAAAAAAAAAAATGGTATGTACATTTTATCACCACTTACAATTTTAGAAATAATGCAGTGGCCACCATCTTTAAATAATTTAAGTGTTTCTTTATTGATTCTCACACGCTCCTGTTTTTGGCGCTTAGTTTAAGCTATCGGAAACCAAACGATAAACTAGTTTTTCATATGCAATTCTTCATGAATAATTGTCTGCATGGCTGTGGATCCAATGTTAAATTCCATCTGTATCATTTGGTAAGTGCAGTGATTATCATTGATTACCATTTTCTGTGTGGCAGATACATTATCAGGGATCACTGCTGATAAAAGTGTTCATATATGTTCTTCATGCTGGAGAGAATTGCATCCTCTATGAATTCTGTAAACCATCTGAATACAGTAGCACAAAATCGATCTTCATTTCCAAATGTGATTTGCAGACATTGAATGCATTCTTCTTGATTTAATCTCACTTTAAAATCATAGTGCAACAATGTTCTTGCATCAACTTCATTTTTCCTTCTGCCTAAAATATATTCTATGCTAAACTACTTGCAGCTAGCCAATAAATAATCATCTGCTGGAACAAAATAATTCATAACTTCAGATGTAACTGTTATTTTTTTTATTTATTTATTTATTTATTTATTTATTTTTTTCTGTCATTTATTGTCTGCCCGTATCTCAAAAATTCCGTAGTGACCTATGTATTTGCCGTAAATCTTAATACTCAGTAATGCATTTTTCATGTGTGTTTTGTAGGTTTATAACTATTATCTGCTAATTCTGTTTTGTAACATTTGCTTCAATGCACAATAATTTGTTATGTAGTTATATCTAAAAGTAGCAGGGATGACTCTTGGCATTTTGCCGCCCAGTGCAATCCTGCAGTTTCTAAATTATGCCACCTGGTGCCTCCTTTATTTCAAAAATTTTACTGCCTCTAAATTCTGCCACTCAATGCAACTATACCAGTTTTGTAAACCAGTAATATAATTATTCTTTGGACCAAAATGCATCATTTGATAGTTTTCAATAAAATAAAGGTATAAAGTTACTAAATTTTTTTTCAGAGCAGGAAACAAGAAAAATCAATGATGTTTTTGCCTTGTTTCGAACTTGAGACCTCCTAACTGCTAGCTGGACATTCTTTCAATTATATCTCAAAGATACATAGTGATCAACGAGTGTCTAATAACACTGCATTTTGGATATTAACAAGATTTTTTTCATTTATATTCATGTTTAAGCATTTTTAAATTTAAAAAAAAAAAAAAAAAAGTTCTTAAAAATTGCAAAAGTTAATCCTCTGTTCAGTTCCTTTGTTATTCACTATAGTTATATTCAGGGGCATTTTGTATGGATTATAAAAATCAAAACACATAAAAGTTCAACCATGCAGCAAAATTGATGGAGATATTTGATTTCAAAATTTGAGATCTTTGACATTATTTTCATCATGTCATGATGTTCTTGATTAATGAATAAATTAAAATGGGTCAAGTTTAATTTTTTTCTCTCCCTTTTCAGTGCCGTTCTGTGATATTCTTTTCCAGTTAACTGTGTGGGATTCAGCTCTATCTAGAAGCTTATATCTATAAACTCTAATAGATTGGAAGTGAGTTATTGCTTAGTCTGAAACAAATCACAAAGTCTAAAGAAGGTTAAAATAACCTTTTTATTTAAGTCTTAAATAAACAGAAAGCACGGCTTAAGCAACAAGTGAATTTCCACTACTTGAGGGATTTTAAATTAACTGAAATTTAAATTTCAAATCTAGGTAACATAATCTGAAATTATATGTAACTATTAAACTTCTCAAGCTGGCTGAACATATTTAACAGCATGCATTCTAAATAGCAGCTAACAAGTTGCTAAAGCCTTGGCATGGCTGGCATTACTATTTAACTGCAAGATGAGGCTGCCAGAAGTTTCACCTAAACATTCAGATCATCAGCTTAAATACATAAGTATCTAATTTGCATTCTAGTAAGGACTGTGGACAGAGAAAGTTATAGTAAAGATTTAAATCATAATAATTGGTTAATTAACATAAAATGCCCTATAACTAATATATGGTATTCATTAATTTATAATTTTGTTACAATTGGTATGCTAAAAGACTTTCGACAAATAATTGGCTGTGCTGCAATAAAGGCCTTTCGGTATTTTCTAGAATATAAAGTTTATAAGATTCTGTAAGTACGATTTCTTTCTATTTTGAAAAGAAATTACATTGATCAATATTTTTCATGACAACCTGCTTAAAAAATGCACATCATTCAATGTATTAACATAAAAAAAACTTTCTCCTAAACTAGAATTTTATTTTTAGTTACATAGGAATAAAAACATTTCAGTTTGTGTATGGCTCTTGAATATGATCTGAAGCTTAAAGTATCTTATTCAATTTGTGTCTTGTGAGAGTCTTGCTTTTTATTTTTATTTTTTATAATGAAAATAAAATTTCCTAAATATAATTATAGGGACTGGGAGGGTGTTTTAAGGTAGATTTTGTAATTTTTACAAACTTTATTTTTTTACATTTAAAAATACCAAAACGTGAATTTGTTTGTTTGTTTTTTGTTGTTTGGAAGTATGTCTATGATTAAAATTTCCAAAAACCGCTTTAGAACTTTTGTGGAAATTGTTATATGTAAGATAAAAAAAATATGTGAATCAAAATTATAATTTAAACTAACGGTAAAAACTTTAAATTCTCCCTCGCTGTTTTAAAAATCACAATAATTTCTCTGGATTGCATCATTTCTAGATCATTCTATGGCCTGCGTAGCTCTAATGATACAATATTTGGGAACTGAAACGACCATTGTAAACCAAAACTTTTTCTCTTCGTGTGCTTGTATAACTACGCACTTCAGCTTTGCTCTCTACTCTGCTAGAATGTAACTTTGCTGTCTTGCTTGCTATTGCAATAATATCAAAAATGTAAATGTTCTGTAAAAAGGTACGACTAGAGTGCCGTGATTGTGGCCACAAACGTCAGTTGTAAAATAAAAATGGAATTAAAACTGCCAAGTTCTTTAGATATTACCAAGTCAATATATATTAGCATACTGCACAATCAGATGTCTTCAATATGGATCTAAGTACGCATCGACAGTGTTTCGTCTTTTCCTTTCCTTGCTTTTATTATGTCATATATATATATATAAAATATCTTATAAAGGCCCTTTAATGACTGGTATCCCCCTTTTCTTTATTATATATATATATATTTACTGTTCTTCCCTATTCTTTCTTTTTTTTATTAAATTTCCCCCTTTTTTTTCCTCAATTAAACATAATGAAAAAAGGGGGGTTATATTTCTGTTTTGGGAAGTAATTAAATACATAAGTTTGTGTTATTTGTTACCATTACATTCAAATTGGTGCCAAATTTTTGTTTTAGTGTTTCACTGGCAGCCAAAGCTATAAAAACATGTGCACTACTCTAACTACTATTATTTATTTTTCAAGTGGTGTTATAATACTATACAAAGTATCATGAAACGTGTAAAGTGCAGTTTTAACCCTTTCTGGCATGCTACCTTTTAAAGTCAGAGTTTTGATTTAAAAAAAAAAAGGTAGGCAGTCTAATTAGGCCTAGAGGAGTACACAAGTAAAATTTTGTGAAGATAGCACTTATCGTTTTAATTCTGTGGGTGTGCCCAAAGTGGCACACTGATTGAATAGAGCTTTCATACCCTAAAAAAAAATCTGAAGATTTCTTTGAAAAATGAGGGTCTTAAAAAACTCTAAACATGGCTAAAATATATGGACTGGTTTGTGTTGAGCTGCCATCTACTATAAATAAAGAAGGTTCAGAGTAACCTATAAATCCTTTTTCATTCTATTTTTCTGCGCATACAGAAGGAAATTTTTAGGTGTGTCCAGACCACACACACACTGTGCCG